CATGTGGGGACCAAGGTGGCCGGTGTGGGGCAAGACAGCCCTGGCTGGCAGGGACCCCCAAGCAGCACAGTGCCCCCGATGCGGGGACAGGGACCCGGTGGCTCTCTGTGCGGGGTGACAGCGGTGCCAGGGCAGGGACGAGGCCCCGCCAGCCCTGGGGACAGGCAAAACAGGCTGGGGAGGGAGGGGGGCCAAAGCTGGCAAACCTTCCCTGTAAGAAAAGGTTGTTCAGGAGAAAAATCACAGATATGATAATAACAATAATAACAACGATGATAACAGCTCCCTGAGTCAAACTATTTTCCAGACCAAGAAAAACAACCCGAGAGTGCTGGGGACAAAGGTGCAGCCACGGAGATGGCCTCGCGCACGGTGTGGCACCCTGGCTCCACCACACCAGGGGAGTTCCTGTGGAGCAGCAGAGGTTATGTCCCAGTTTGGGACACAGAGAAGCAGAGGGACACATCCCACAAGCAGAAAACAGTCAGAGGGGGAGGTCTCCTGCCTCCTGCCCAGCGCAGGACCCCTGCCAGCACCAGCCTGGGGCTTTGTCCAGCTGAGGCTCAGCCACACACAAGGATGGAGACCTTTCCTCCTCAGCGGTGGCCTGTGCTGGGTCCACACATCCATCTGGGGAAGGTGCATCCCCAGCACTGGGCAGGTCTCCCTTCAAGCCCCAGTCCAGGGACTCCCTTCAGAGCATCTCCAGAAACACAGCTTTAGAGGGAAGAGAAAGTCCTAGATCAAACCCTGCAATTCTGGAGCCTGGATCTCCATTGGCAGGAGCCACCAGGAGACCCTAGCCCTACCTTCTGGGGCTCTTCCCCTGATCCCAGCAGACCATCAGCAGGTCCTGGTGCAGTAAGGAGGTACTGACACCTACGGAGGCACAACACACCTGCAATGTGTGCGAGGAACCCAGGCTAGCTGGAGACGTCTGTACCACTGCTGTTGCAACACCGATCTGGTCATCATCTCCAGGCAGAAACACACCAAGCATGGGCAGCTGCATGCAGGGTGCCTTCCTGGAGCTCCCTTCTGGAGCACCCAGCTAGCCCCAGATAGAAAACCTGTTCCAGCTGTGCAGGAGAGGGGCCATCCTGCCTAGAAAGTCTGAGAAAGCTTTTCTGAGTGAAGACCTGAAGGCAAACCTGGAGGATGTGAGCCTTAGTGAGCACCAACATGGGTGTCTCTCTGTGCAGGGACCACGGGGAGTTGGGACTCCCCAGCCTGGTGGTCTTCTCTGCTCCAGCAGCCATCACTGCAAGGGAGTGTTGAGGGTCCAGACTAACACTGGGGAGCTTCAGGGTGGTTCCCATCAGCAGATAAACCCAGCCCACAGTGTTCCCATCTCCTGCCCACAGGGGTGCAGCCGGAGCTTTGCAGAGCAGGCGCAGCGCTGGGGATGGCAGGCACATTCCCAGCCCAAAGCCAGCTGTGCAACACAGCTGCATTTCCTGGGCTCGGCCGGGTTTTCTGCAGGACCCCACCACCACGGAGGTTACAAGGGACGTGGCCCATTTGTATCCAAACAGAGGGGCTACCAAGCCTGGAGGCAGTACTTCTGCCCAGCCCTCTGTACCCTGGAGCTCATGGCTCATGATGGGGGGCCCTGCAGCCACCCTGTGCAGCATCTGGTGACAAAGGGCTCGTAGGAGCCAGAAGGGCTCATACTGGAGGGGGAACGATCCCAACTGCCTTATGGGCTCTGCACAGAGTCGGCTCTCAGCAGATGTTTGCTGGCTGGACCGGGGCTCCTTGCAAAGTGACAAGTGGCTCCCCAGGGAGAGGAACCAGGCAGATGCCCTGCAGAAGTCCCATGGCAGATTGCCCAGGGGAAGAGGATAGAGCTCCGAAGTCCTGGAATGATGGAAAAGCAAGAGGGCTTAAAAATGCAGAAGGTTGGACTCAGTGGGTCCCTGGGAGGGAGCTACAGGCTCCGATGGCTCTGTAAGGCCACAGGTAGTTCTCTGAGATCAGAGCAGACCTTAAGCATGGCAGGATGCCCGCCACATTCAGAGCTTTGGGGAGGCTTTGCTCTCTGTGCTCCCATCTCAGGACCTGCATGTCCCCAAGAGCAAAGCCACAGCCACTGCCTGGGGTGGCTCCTGCCTCACTTCCCAGTCCCTGCAGAGAAGCTGTGGCTGCCCCATCCCTGGAGGGGTTCAAGGCCAGGCTGGATGGGGCTTGGAGCAACCTGCTCTGGTGGGAGGTGTCCCTGCCCAGGGCAGGGGGGTTGGAACTCCATGATCTTTAAGGTCCCTTCCAACTCTAACCATTCTATGATTCTAAAATCTGTGACAAGGGGGGGGGGGGGTGTGTCAGCCTTTGGCCAGGGTGGAGGCCGCTCTATGAGCACAACGAAACCCGTCTGGACTGCGGCTCTGCACAATGCGTATCCATGCGCGAAGGACATTTTGACACTGGCACTCACTCCATCTGAGGCAGGAACTTGCAAAACCTGCTAGAAATGAACCCAGACACAGGGTGGGATCCAGCCCCAATAGCTGGCTTTGGAGGCTGACCTTGCAGACACGCTGGACATCCCCAGGGAAGAGATCTGAGCACTCCAGACACCTATGCCATGAGCTGACAGTGGCCTGGGTGAATGTAGTTGTGTCTCAGCAAAAATAGCAAAACACAGAGGGCAGCCCACAGATGAGCCAGCAGTCCCGAGGACAGACCCTTACTGGCTGACCCCATCAAAGACAGAAGAGAGAAAGATTCACCCCCTAAGCCATGCCCAAGACTCAGGGCTAGTTGAAGAGAAGCCAATGCTGGGCAATCGCAGTTCAATTTACTGAAATGTTAAGGTTCTGAAATTATTTTCCAGGCAGACTTACCTTCTTTCCTATGGTGAAATACTTCCATGACTGAGCTTGGTAGGTGGGGATGTTCTGGTAGGGCACAAACTTCCCATCGGTCCACTTATAGATGGCCGATCCCGGGGGGGTGTACCGGTTGGCAGTGGCTGCGAACAGTCCCACCTTTGGGATGGTGAAGACCTCAACTCCCATCGTCTCAGAGTTGGTCACCAGGTTCTGGTACTCCTCCACATAGTCCAGCCTTTGTTTGACTAGGAGAACCACAAAGAAAGAGGGGTGAGGTTAAACCCAGATGACCCTGGCCTGGAGAGGTGCCCCCTGTTGCGTAGCAGAGCTGGCTCAGCGGCACTTGCTGCTCTGTGGGGGGGAAATGAAGGTTGTGGTGCTGCTGGTGGTGAGGGGCCAAAACCTGAGGGGGTGGTAAAAGGCTTGACTTGGTCTTAGTGGGCAGCACATCCAGCCCCCTCCACCCCTGGCTGTTCTCTGGCAGAGGGCAGGGCTGCAAACTGCTCTGCTGGGAGGGGGGAAGAACAACACACCAGGGCTTTTCATTGCTTCTTACAAAGTGGGTTGATATATTTGTCCTAAAGAGAATGAGGAGGAGATGAAGAGACCTACAGCGAAAGGGCCTGGGCTGCTGAGACCAGCTGGGTTAACATGTACCCACCTGCAGCAGCCCTGCACCAGATGTTTTCTCTGGCTGGAGTCAGCATGAGCTCTGGAAGAAGTTAGAGAAGACTTAGACAGAATTAAATGCCAGAAATTAGAACTGAAAGGCGAAGACTGGTCCCAATGGCAGATGGGTGGGCACTGGAAGGGACACATGGCAGGAGTAGGGCCACACGAAGGGCCAGTGTCGGTGGCACCAAGGGACACAGGTTAGCAAGATCCCAGCATGAGGTCTCCTTGGGAAAACCAGGACACAGTGCCAATCCTGATGACTTCCAGAGGTAGGGAAATGGGGGAGTCCAGCCACTGCCAGCTCCTGTGGGCAGCAAATGGCTCATCCAAACCCACCACAAGGGCATCAGCACAAGAAAAACCCCAGGACAGAGGGGAAGGACAGCTCGGTTGTGGGCATGCCTCATCCTCCATGTACTACCAGGGATCCTGGGCAGACTGCCTGGAGCGAGGGGGAGCGTGCCAGTGGGCAAAATCCATTTTGTTCTTGAACAATGTCCATCCCTCCAGGCTGTTGCTTTGCCACCGTGTTGCTCCAATGTTGCCCCACTATTTTCTGCATGAAGACCACTAGAGCTGGGATGACACGGGGACCTGCCTCCACCACCCTCCTGCCCCTTCAACTCTCTCTGGCAGCTGATGAGTCTTTCTGCTCCTTCTTGCCCACCCTGCAAGAAGTAGGTGCCAGGAGAACCTGCACTGTGGGGACCCCACAGCATGGAGCACCCCAGCACGGCTCTCTGAGGGGCCAGCTGTCCCACTTGGACAGACCCAGGGCTCATCCCTGGTTGGAGAAGCCCTAGGAGGGACAGACAACATGGATAACACGGAAGACAACGCAGGCACTGTGTGAGCGACTGGGGAGCTGTTTCACAGAGGCATTTGAATCCAGAGCTGCACTGGAAGTGTCAACATGGGCACCAAGAGCAAAGTGAAGCCCAGCCAGGGTGTGGGGGGAGGCAGGGTGACACCCCAGCCCCATCACCCTGCTGTTGTCTGACTTGGTTCCCGCCCCAAGCTGCTGCCGGTGGCAAATCTCTGCTCCTCCTCTGCTCCCAGAGCCTCCCTCCGTCCCCGTGAGAGCATCTCACACCAGTACCTTCCAGCATGGAAATCCAGGTGCTGCCGTTGCAGAGGTACAGCCCTCGCTGGGAGGCGTTGAACCAGAACTGCGCCTTCTCCTGCTTGGTGCAGGGCGGACGGGACCCCAGGGTCACCTTCGTGTCAGTCTCTGGACACGGAGAGAAGCAAGGCAGGTGCCTCTTAGGGCACGCCACAGAGAAGCAGCAAGGCTCATTCCCATGCCCATGAAGGGTTGGACATCCCGGTCCCATCCCGATGATGGGCACCAGGGAACGTGGGAAATGGCATCCCAGCCCTGAGCCGGGAAGTCACCGGCTGAGAAAACCCTGGGGGCTGGCACCCATGGGGTGATGGGCACAAGCCCAGTGCTGCCAAGGGACCCGGGCAGGGGCACCCCGGCTCTCCAGGGAGGTTTTGGACAGTGATCCCACCCCCTGTACACCTTGAGAAACGAGGGTGGTGAGGACACCCTCTTTCCCTGCGCTCCTGCTCCGTGCCCAGCCCCATGCAAAGACTCTTCCTCGGCAAAAGCCAGAGTGGCCAAGTGAGACCACACGGTGGGGATTACTGACCGTAGGGGTATTTTAGCACCTCGTTGCTCGCTGGCTTCATGGGGACGTCCTGGAGGACAGTGGGGACAGAGAGCATTGCTTCTTTAAAGTTCATGGCAGTGCATATCTGAGGGGTGGCATCGGCTCCGGGCAGCAGGACAAGCTGTCTCAGCAAGCCCTGGGAAAGCAGGAGCAAGATCATGGAGAGCAAGTCCAGCAAGAACAAGAAATGGAAACTGCAGCTGATTTATGCCTTGGATTTCCCTCCCGACTCTTGCTCGTTGCCCTCCCTCCCGGGCCGTGGAAGCCTCCATGGGATTCATCAACGTTTATCAGATCCTTGTTAGATGCCCAGCCTGCCAAAATCTTCATCCTGGCCAATTTAACAGCTGGTGCAAGGGGAACATTGGCAAGGGGCTCGTTAGCTCCAGATGGCTTTCACTGCCTCTGCTTTTCGCTGCTGGTCAGGATCAGGCACTGCCCTAAATTTTGTATCAATGAGATTGTGCCACCGACTGTCCTGTCACCGCACTGCTGGCAACATCCTCTTAAAAACACATTTGTCCACAAAGTGCCAGCCACCAGCACTGCCCCTTGCGTGCCCATGGCCAGCTGGGGACCGAGCCCAGCAGCTGGACCCCTGGCCACCTCTGCTGCCTGTGCCGGGGCCCAAGCCCTGCCAGCGTAAGGGGCTGAGGGGGGGCTACAGCTCACCCCATGGCCCGTTAGGGCAACCCCGCACCATGGGGCACATACCGTGAACACGCCTTTCCTTCTCCTCCTGTTGCCCAGGTAGAAGCTGGCTCTCTTCACCGACAGAGAGGCTGGAAATGGCGTCTCCACCACCCTGTGGATGAGCAGAGAAGGGGCAGGGGATGATTTCATGGCATCTGCTGGTGGCTGGAGGAGATGCTGGTGGAGGAACATCGCCCTGCCAGCCCTCCCGAGGCCCTCACCGATGCCCCCAACCTACATGTCCTTGGGGACGCTGCAGTCCACCGTCAGGGAGAAGGACTGGCCAGAGACAGCCAGGACGAGCGTGTGCCACTGGTTGTTGGAGAGGGAGACGTTGTGGAAGGTGACGCGGGTCTGCCAGCCGCCAGCGCGCTCCTGGCTCCAGAAGAGGAAGTGGAGCTTTTCGGGGGCGTAGCGCAGCCCCACCAACACGCTGGGGCTCTCCTCGGCCATCAGCGTGAAGATGTACTCGTTTCTCTGTGGGAAGGGCACGGACTCAAATCCGCCTGCCGCAAGCTTTGGGGCCGGGCTGTGCCCGCTCCCTGCCCGGCCAGAGGCGCTTACCTTGGCGGGGACACTGAGGACCCTGAGCGTGACGATGATGGAGAACTCCTCAGGGAAGCAGTCGCAGTGGATGAAGAGCCGGGAGGCGGGGAAGCCCAGGGCACGGGGCCGTGAGGCGGCCAGCTGGAAACCACGTACGCCCTGCACTTGAAAGACCCTCATGCCACGGGCCAGCCCGCTGGCGGGCACCGCCTCCGAGAGGATGTCCAGCGGGCGCAGATCTGTGCCGAGAGACAGCAGAGCGCGTCATGGCGGCAGCAGCCATCCCTTCCCGTCCCACCACGGGAGGGGGTCCTGCCACCCGGCTTGCTCAGGGCACCCAGCCCATCTCCAGCGCTGGCCGGGGGGAGCCACAGCAGCTGGGCTAGGTCCAGTACCCTGCCATCCCCTGCCCAGGGTCCATGTCAAGCAGACATGGGGAAGGTTTGCCCTCCAGGCACCAAGGCTGAGCTCTCCATCCCCAGGGGTGCCAAGCACCAAATGAACCATCCCATGGATCCAGCTGACCCCAGGCCACCACCTTCCTCAGGATCCATCAGCACCAGCAACCAGAGCCAGGAGAGCAGGCAGGGAACCAGCACCACAGCTTGCTCGCAGGGTGGCCACCCGTCCCCAGGGTGGTGGGGCACAACACTCCCCCCCCCCAGTCCTGGTCCAGGCTCTCCCAACCCAGCCCTAATTGCACACACGCACGTACTCCCCTGGCAGGCACCAAAACCACTCATTAAATAATTATCCTCTCCCCAGAGGAGAAAATGACGTGCCCAGCCCCAGGGCATTGCCCGGGTGAAGAACAGCACTAGGCACTGGGCAGTGCCAGGCCGTCCCCACGTCACAGTGCCAGGGCTGCCGTGGGTCCGATGGCTTGGCGGGCCATGGGAAGGGCTGTGCCCACACTGGGCACCTCTCCAGCCTCCCCCACCTCGGCTCCCCACGGCTTTTATCTTGGAACACCCCCCTGGCAGGATTGCCATGCCTGCAGCAGAGGGCATGGGGCTCGGTGGTGCTGCCCATGGGATGAAGCAGCCCTTGGCTGGACCACAGGAACCCCTGTGACTGTCCCACCGCCCCTGAGACCGGGCTGTTAGCTCCTATTTGGACTAATAAATCTCGGCTGCCGGGGCACAGCGGGAGAGCCAGGCGTGTGTGTGTGTGTGTGTGTGTGAACAAGGCTGTCTGAATCCAAACCAGCTGGAGAGGGGCAGTGGTTCCCCCCGCCAGCATCCCCGGCCAGCCCAAACCCCCATGGACAGGGCCAGGGGGATCTGCCCGTGGGGCTCCATCCAGCCGGGAGCAGGGACAGCAGTGAGTTCCCCCCGACCCTGCCAGCCCTGCGTTTCCCCCCTCAACCCCACGGGGCAAGAAGCGAGCCATGGGGCCCCCCCCCCCCCCCCCCCCCCGCCACTGGTTTAAGCTGCTCCTCAAGCAAAGCCTTGGTGGGGGAAGTTTAACTCAAACAAATTATTTCAGAAATGCACAGCTGGGGGAATGACCAGTTCCCGCTTTTCTCAGCAAAAAGCAGAAGCAGAATTCAGGCTTGGGTTTGCGGGGGGGTCCCGGAGCCCTCGAGTGCCCTGGGGGCGGCTGGGATGAGCCAGGGGCAGCTCAGACAGGGCCAGAGGCCGTGGGTCGGGATGGGACCAAGTCCTAAAACCAAACCCCAAGTCCCTAAACCCGAAGATGCACATCCCGATCTGCGTCCCGCTGAGGGTCAGGGAGCAGCCGGCGGCTGACGGCGGGGAGAGCAGTCGGGGCGCCTCGGGCAGCACACGGGGTGGGTAAAGTGCTGATGCTGGGGCCTCGACACCCCCAGGAACCCTCCAGCCGAGGCTGCGTGGGGACAGCAGGGATGTCCCTGGAGAGACCGGAGCAGCCAGGGGAGGAGGCAAGAGGCAAAAACTCTCCCATCTCTCCCAGTTTTCCTCCTCAGCGCCGGCTGCAATACAATGTGAATACAGGCGCCATCAAACCGAGACGAGCCCCAAGAACGTGGAGCCTGGGCCCAAGCAGCTCCAAAACCAGGCTGAAGTCCCACCGCCCACGCAGGGACCGTGCAGCACGGGGACAGGGACCCTCTTTGGCTCAGGCTGCTCTTGGTGCTTCCCTGTGGGAATTGCCGTGGAGCTGCCAGCTCCTCAAGCCGGGGGAGCGGGATGGAAACTTTGCGGGAGGTTTTGCTGTGGGGAGGGCGTAGGTTGTGTCTGGCAGAGTGCAGGGAGCCCCGGAGAGTCTGGGGTGGGAGGGAATTTCCAGGGGGGACTTCATGGCTCTTCCTCTACTTCTCCTTCCAGCCCTTCCCCTCCCTGTGCCCCCCAGGGCCAGCAGACCTTGGGACAAGGCTTGTGCCGCAGGGACGGGCACACACCGCGAAGGGCTGGTGACTCCCCATCCTGTGCCACGCCGGGGGGCTGTGGGCACAAGGGTGACCCCACTACCTGCCACGCGTGGGTGCAGGCAGGGTGCTGTCACCTGAGGCATCGCTCCCTGCTGTCACCCTGAGATTCGGTCTGCTGGCACCTGGGCACTGAAACACCGGCGCTGGGCTTCCCGGGAGAGGCTGCCCCACATGGGACACCCTGCAGTGGCCACGTGCCCCCCAAAACACAGCATGCTTTCTAGGCTCTGTCCCTAGAACATCCCGTCCATGGGAGGACACAGGTCGCAGCGTGTTTCCTCGCACAGCCATTGTCTGTCTCGACACCCCCCTCCCGGCGCAGCCCCCCCGCCGGCCCTCGCTCCTACCTGTGCAGTGCTGCCAGGTCCTGCCCCCGCGGATGAAGCCCTCGCCGGTGGCCCAGTGGAGGAGGACAACCCAGAGCAGCAGCGGAGCCGACATCGGGGGGCTGACCTCAGGGGGTCCATCCACCGGGACCCCCTTGCCGTCCACTCTTCCGTGCCCAGGCAGGCGCCGCTCGGCTCAGTCCCCCCAGGGGCTCTGGCATAGTCTGCTGGTGGGGCCACCTCCTCGGGGATGTTCCACACCAGGCTGCTTCTGGGGTGCTAAGCTCCACCGTCCCCTGGCGTGGGCATCACGGGCTGGGGCACGGCGAGGGGGGCAGGCGGGGGGCCAGCGGGAGCTCCCCAGTGCCCGCGCAGCCTGCGCACAGACATTTAAATGAGAAGTTGGTGGTGGGAGAGGAGGAGCCCCGGCTCCTTGGAGAGCTTTTATCTTTTGCCCAACCCTCTGGAAGGCGGCTTTGGGGAGGGGTTTTTTAATATATTTTTTTTCCTCCTTTTTTCCTTTGCTTCCTTTCATTTCTGGGGATTCATTTTTCCAGGCTCACGTGAGAGCAGGTAAGAGATGTGCCCCTGCCCCGAGAGACCAAGGTGGGAACCTTCCTGCCCCTAAAAGCCTTGTGCTTTCGGCAGCACGATCCCAGCCTGTACTGGAGGGATCCTCCACCCCTGCTGGTCCGCTCCACCCTGCCCAAAACCACTCAGACCCCACAAGGGGCGTATTTTTCCCCCAAAAATGCCTCATGCAGGTGGTGCACAGCCAGTGCCGTGGGTAACCCTCCAGCCCAAAGGCTGGCCACCAGAGCTGGCCGTGCCACAAGGAGGGTGGCAGCGTGCCCAGCGCCGGTTCCGAAACCCTGGAGGTTCCGCTGTTCCAACGGGAGAGACAGCAGTGGAAAAACTCCCTGCACGCAGCAAGTTCCGCTGGGCTTCTCCAGCCGCAAAATGAGTTACTTCCATTCCCCAAACAATTGAAATGGGCTCCCACCCCCCCTGCCCCGTCCCCAAAGCCTTCCCACAAGGCGAGCGCCGGAATAGAAAGCGGATGGCCAGGACGAAACGCCAAAAAAATTGTGTCGCAAACTGGGGGTTTCGTCAGCCAGGAGCAGCCGGAGCCGGACCCACAGACGAGCCTCCCACCGCTCTGCCCCACCGAAACCCACCGTGCCGGGAGCCTGGCAGCACCCTGCGCTGCGATCCCAAACCCTGGGAGGAGCTGCCACCGGAGCCCGGAGGGGGCCCAAAAGCCATTGGTGCCTCTGTCTCATGGTCAAACAGCCCCTGAAGCCTGGAGAGCTTGTGCCTGGGGGTGCTCTGGACCCAGCAGGGCTGAGCAGAGCTCCTGCTCCCCACACGCCTCTTGTTGGGCAGCCCCCACTTTAGGGGCTCTAGCAGGATCACGCTTAAGCAGAGCTTAACCTCTCTCCAGAGGGTGCTGCAGAGGCGAGACGCAGCCAGCTCCCCATCGTAGAATCCCATGGGGTTGGAAGGGACCTCTGGAGATCATCTCCTCCAACCCCCTGCCAGAGCAGGGCCACCCAGAGCAGGTCCCACAGGAATGTGTCCAGGTGGGTTTGAATGTCTCCAGAGAAGGAGACTCCACCACCTCCCTGGGCAGCCTCTGCCAGGGCTCTGCCACCCTCACAGCAAAGAAGTTCCTCCTCATGTTTAGGTGGAACTTTCTATATTCAAATTTTTGCCCATTTCCTCTTGTCCTGTCCCTGGGCACCACTGAAAGAAGACCGGCCTCATCTTCCTGACACCCACCCTTTAAGTATTTATAAGCATTGATCAGATCCCCTCTCAGTCTTCTCTTCTCCAGACTCAAAAGACCCAAGTCCCTCAGCCTTTCCTCATCAGAGAGATGCTCCAGGCCCCTCAGCATCTCTGTAGCCCTCTGCTGTCCCCTCTCCAGCAGTTCCCTGTCCTTCTTGAACTGGGGAGCCCAGAACTGGACCCAGTGCTCCAGCTGGGGCCTCCCCAGGGCAGAGCAGAGGGGCAGGATGACCTCCCTGCTCCTGCTGCTCACGCTCCTCTTGATGCACCCCTCACCCTCCTCACCCTCGCACTGGGGACGGTGCCCATTGGCACGGCCATCATCAAACCCAGGGGTCCCCAATGGTTCTGCACGGGATGTGGGAAGCACAAACCATCCCACCCCCTGCCAGGGTCAGTCCCTCGTGCTGCTCCCCATGGCCTCAGAGACACCCACCAGCACTGGGGCTGGGAGCAGCCACCTCGCCAGAACCCCCCGCCACATCTGCAGCATCGGGGCCCCCCTGGCAGCGAGGCGGGCGCGCTGGAGGGGACGCTGGCACGGAGCAGGGCACGGCTCCTGGCAGGTCGGTGCGGGGTAAGGCGGCCCAAATGAGAATCAGAGCCACCACGTTCCCCAGGGCCGCACACATGTGTCAAGTTAAGCGTGTCTTTGGGAGCTGGCAGCGCCGCCCCGAGCGGGGGGACTCGCACAAGCGGCCGCATTTTGGGAATTCTCCCGCCGACGCCAGCCCCGGCTCTGCAAGGGTCCGGGCAGCCCGTGCCACTCCTCCCAGGGAGGGAGGAAAAGTCCCACCAGGGATGCCAGGGAGACTGTTTTTTCCAAAGGGGAATGCAGCCACCTTTGAGAGCCAAAAAGCTGGTCGGTGGGATATCTCCAGACCCAAGGACACAGCCACGGGTGTCCCCTCCAGAAGCAGGGGGATCCGGGCACTGCCAGGCAGGAGGTGGAGGAACCGAAGCCCCCATTGATGAGTAGGGAGGACGTGCACCGTGGGCTCTGGCTGCTTTTCAGCCATGTGCTGTTAGTGAGCTGTCTCCTGGCGAGGACAAGGACATTGATGGTCTTCAAGGATTTTCTCCATCCTTGCACTGGGGAACCTGGCGTGGCAGAAAATGGTGGAGCGGCCTGGGCAGCGCCTGGCACTTTTCTCCCTCCCCAGGAGGACCTGCCAGGGAATCAAGCTGTGACGTGAAATAAGGACAGGAGCCCATCGCCGCCCGCTGTCGTGTTGGGTCCAGGACCTGCTCTGTGTCCCAACAACAGTAGGAAGTGGTCTGCAAAATTGTTCCTAAGCACACAGGCACACATTCCTATGCGCACAAGCAAGCGCGAGAGGATGAAATAAAAGAGACAAACAGCGAGCCGTTTGCCTAATTTGCATGGGTCATAAATAAAACCATGTGGCAGCTCCGAACAGAACGATCCTTGGATTTCCACCAAAAAGATTTAGCCATCCCTGGGTTAGAAAAGGTTGAGAAACCCATCTGTAGACAATAATACGTTTCAAGCAGAGCTTCCACGCAGAGGACAGTGTGAAGAGGGCACCTAATCAACGCCAGGGACAGGCTGGACCCTGCAAACAGGGTAATGTTCCTGCTCTTCCAAGACTGTAACTCATTCCTTATTATTTGCAGACACAAAGTCATGTTTCAGTGCTTGTTATGCCCTATTCATTTCAGTCTTTATGCCTGACATCTGCAAGAGCTCTCTCCCTTGAAACGCAGCGCGCATACGGGCAGCGGCAAAGCTTTGGGGGGCCCTATACATAACCTATACATAGCACCCAGACAACTGCAGTGCTGCCCATCTCATGGGTGTCCCCAGCCCGGGCTCCGGACACATCCACCCTCCTGCCCACACCGGCAGGGCCAGGGGAGCCAGTCGAGCCCGGCTGGCCACCAGGCACACACGTCCGTGGGGATGGAGCTGGAGGTAAATGAGGAGCACACGGAGCCAGCCTCGCCTGCCCGAGCAGCAGGGCCAGGATCAGCCCTTGGGGTCAGCTCCCAAGACGACAGGGGAAACCGGGATCTGGGCAACATCCCAGATCCCGGTTGCCCAGATCACTGGGAACAACACCTTCCCCGGGGTGACGGGATGTGGAAGGACGGGATCTCCCTCCTCAGCCGTTTCTGAGGCACCTCCCTCGTCACCTCTGCCCTTTCTCCTAGGCTTAAAATCTTCCCCATGTTTCCTGCAGCAACTTCAGCTCCCTGAGCCCAACCCACCGACGTAAATTGGAGTTCCCACAAGAAATCTCCGCGCCAGGAAACCTGTCGGCGTCGTACAAGAAGTGTAAAGGTCTTTAACCCCATCGCCTTTCAAAAACTTAATTCCCAGAAGTTTTGGAGGGGTCCTGCCAGGAAAAGTTTTGTCGAAGGACTGGGAGGATTGCAAAAGGCACCGCTTTTAGGAAAGCCACCAAAAAAAGCACAAAGCTGCCCCAATGCTGCAAGTCCTGCTGCCAGCTTCCCAGGCGCGGAGCTGCCTTCGGGAGCAATCCCTGCCGGGGGTGGGAAGCCACCAGCGTCGCTCGCATCCCACAGCCCTCTGTGTCCACGAACCCGCAGCACTGCCAGCCCCACGGGCCCTGGGGGACGAAGGAGCCCAGCTGGCAGGGTTCCCCCAGCCTTGGCCACAGGGGGTGGCCGGCAGGGTTGGTGACCTGCAGCCCAGGTCCCTTCCCAAGGAGCCGGGAGCGAGCCGAGCGTCCCGCCGTGCATTTGGAGGACACATGGCAGCCGAGCTGGCAGGCTTTGAAAGGGCTCCAAAAAGCAGTCACTAAACTTTCGCCAGTACAAGCAAAAAGACAGGCTTCAAGACGGCGCTTCTGCACCAGAGCTGCTCAGGATGGGGCTTGGCAGCGCCCAGCGGCTGCATCGCCTCTGCCCATGACAAACAGCTCTTGGCTGCTGCCTCTCCCTCCGTGAAAATGGCTTTCTTCTTTTTGCCACCTTTCCCCAGCGTGCCTGAACCTCTTACAATGGGCCAAGCCACCTCACAGTGGCAGCTGCAGGACCCCCAAACGTTCGCTGCAACGGCCACTTTCCAGCAAGATGGCTCCATAAGGATGGAGAGCAACAAACCCAAGCAGCCACACTGGAGGGAAAGGATGGCATCCAGAGGGACCTGGACAGGCTGGAGAGGTGGCCTGTACCAACCTCATGAAGTTCAGTGAGGCCTAGTGCAGGGTCCTGCACATGGTTCAGGGCACACCCAAGCACAAATCCAGGCTGGGTGGAGAATGGCTGAAGAGCAGCCCTGAGGAGAAGGACTTGGGGGTGTTGATGGATGAGAAGCTCCACACACCCCAGCAATGTGCTCTGGCAGCCCAGAAAGCCCCCCACACCCTGGGCTGCATCCCCAGCCCCGTGGCCAGCAGGGCCAGGGGGGGATTCTGCCCCTCTGCTCCGCTCTGGGGAGACACACCCCCCCCAGTGCTGCCTCCCGCTCTGGGTTCACCACCAGCAGAAGGACATGGAGCTGTTGGAGCGGGGCCAGAGGAGGCCCCGGAGATGGTGGGAGGGCTGGAGCCCCTCTGCTGGGAGGGGGG